GAACGCGCAGCGTTATATCCACGAAGTTCTAGAACCCCATCTTTTACCCTATCTTGACACCCTGGCAGATCCAAATTGCCATCAAGATAATGCCCGACCACATGTTGCAAGAGTCACAATAGACTTCTTTCAACATAATGATGTCACATTGTTACCATGGCCACCAAGATCTCCCGACTTATCCCCAATTGAGCACGTGTGGGATATGATGGGTAGGAGATTGCTCAATTTGCAACGTCCTCCTCAGACTCTAGAAGCACTTCGAGAGGAGTTGGTGGTTGCCTGGAATGAGATGCCACACGAGGACATTGACCACCTGATCAGAAGCATGCCTAGGCGCGTTGGAGAATGCGTAGCACATCAGGGTGAATCCACACATTATTAAAGGTCAAAGGGCTTTAAAGGAGTGTAATCATTTTGAAATGTTTATCATTTACTTATTATGCTTCATTAAGTACTTATACAAAACTTTATTAAAATAAAACCATTTAAACTGGGTGTTCGGATTTATATGTCACTTAGTATAGAAAGCTATGTAGTATACCTGACGTTAAGAAAGTTCATAATATTCATAGTGAAGGGCGTTTTTGTTGAAAGACCGTGTCTCGTTTTTAACCACTATTTAGGCCAAAAATAAGACAGTGAGAGGTTAAAAACAAGACACTGTATTTTCTGGCCTTTTAGTCATTTTACATCAGTGTGGCAAGATATGAGACCCTGGGGAATAAAAACGAGACACACTGCAAGGGTTTTAAAAAGTTTAGTAAGTCAAATAACATAGGTTTTAAATTATGACGTTCTTAAAGAAAACTCACATAATTAAATACAAAACTATGTTTATTACACTAAAAAGAAAACGATTCCAAAAATAAGTTAAATAAACCATACCTAATTCAAAAAAGGGGTAAACCAAGATTTTCAATAGGATTTTAAGAGCTAAAGTAGAAAACTTATTATTTTGTACTACATATTGGACGACGTATTTTTCAAAGTCGATAGGAAACCAATATTCCAGAGAGATACGGTCTTACTTTCTATTTCTGGCTGGGGAGGTTTCATTTCTATGTCACTTTTGTCGATGAAGTACTTTTCCTCAATGGCCGGAAAAATAAATTTAAATCCTTTGCGCCTCAGATACTTTACTTCTATACCGCTCTCAAAAACTTTAAGGATTTGTGCCACGTAGTAAACTTGCGTTTTTAGCGTTTTTTTGACTATTCTATTGTGCTTACAAAAATCTTTGAACCAATCTTTCCCGGGCTTTCCTTCCTTAAACTGGGTAGTAAGCTGGTTTTCTTGTACATAGGTTTGAACTATTGCTTGTATCTCTGGTTTAGTGAGAGCAAACCCCCATTTTGCCATAATTTTTATCTTATCACTTAAGTCTTCTTCCATTTCTTTGGTTAGAGAAGTTTTTCTTCCCTGTTTACCAAGTGAACGAGCACGTCTTCTCGAAAGAGCAGATTTGTCAATTTTAAACTGTTTAGCTGCACTTCTAAGAGATAAAGTGCCATTATCTATTAGTTTTAGGCCTGTTTCTACGTTATTTTGTCGTAGGGGCGCTTTTTGGGAACGTGAACCTTCGGCATTATCATCATAGCTATAAAAGCTGTCATGTTTTTTACATGGCAGATGTCTTGTTTTTAGACTTTGTGGTGCCTCGTTTTTGCACCTGTTATTCACGACGGGTCTGCTTGCCAAAATATAAAAATAGACTAAATTCGATATGGAATATCATAGCTGCATTTGTTATTTTGAAAACGCGATACTTGCCGAGTCTCTACGATAACGTACAGCGGCGAAACAGGAAAAGTTTGTAAATACAATTTAAAAGATTTTTTAAGCAAAATGCACAATCAGATGCGATAGTTTTTTTCTCGATGTTTGTGTTTACGTTTATTTATTATGCATTATATATTTCAATTGTACGTTATATATACTAAGTGACATATAAATCCGAACACCCAGTTTAAATGGTTTTATTTTAATAAAATTTTGTATAAGTACTTAATGAAGCATAATAAGTAAATGATAAACATTTTAAAATGATTGCACTGCTTTAAAGCCCTTTGACGTTTAATAATGTGTGGATGCCCCCTGATGTGCTACGCATTCTCCAACGCGCCTAGGCATGCTTCTGGTCAGGTGGTCAATGTCCTCCTGTGGTATCTTATTCCAGGCAACCACCAACTCCTCTCGAAGTGCTTCTAGAGTCTGAGGAGGACGTTGTAAATTGAGCAATCGCCTACCCATCATATCCCACACGTGCTCAATTGGCGATAAGTCGAGAGATCTTGGTGGCCATGGTAACAATGTGACATTATTATGTTGAAAGAAGTCTATTGTGACTCTTGCAACATGTGGCCGGGCATTATCTTGTTGGAAAGTTGGATCTGCCAGGGTGTCAAGATGGGGTAAAAGATGGGGTTCTAGAACTTCGTGGATATAACGCTGCGCGTTCCTGTTACCTCTGATGAAGATTAAAGGTGACCTGGAACCATAAGCTATAGCACCCCAAACCATAACTCCAACAGTGTGATGAACATGTCTTTCAACAAAAAACTATGGATTCCTCCTTTCACCACGTCGCCTTCTAACCCTGGCACGACCATCGTGCATGCCTAAACAAAATCGATACTCGTCACTAAAGACAATACTGTTCCATTCCTGATCCCGTGACCGTTGTCTGCACCACTCAAGGCGATTACGTCGGTGTTCTAGACTTAAAGGGAGGACCCAGTGTGGCCGGTATGAAAACAAGCCAAAACTTCTCATTCGTCGGTAAACACTTCGCATGCCAATAGGTCTTCCGTGTTCTGCAAATCATTCATTTGCAATGGACCTGGTAGTGGAGAATCGGTCCCTTAAGACCAATAGTCTTAGGCGGCGATCTTCACGGTCTGTTGTTCTACGGCGGCGTCCAGTGCCCCTTGCTCTTTACGTACGGCCTTCTCGAAGCCATGCCTGACAACACCTAACCGCAGTGTCTACAACCGCAATTGCCCGAAAAGAAAGTCAAGCTTCCCGAAGTCCCACTATACGGCCCCTATCAAACTCACTAAGTTGACGAGATCGTACTGGTCTCCGTACTCTAGGCATCGTAACCGATCGTAAAGGATGTCAAGAACCAAAATCCGGAAAAGTTGATTCTTTACTGCGGCTGAAATATTCATTTTTAGGGCGTTAGTGAATTAAAAATAAGCAGTATAAAAACCGGATTGTCCAACTGATGAGGCTGAAAATTGTTTCACTTGTTATTTACAGTAAGATAAACACATTCACCAGCTTTTATTAAAATAAAACCATTTAAACTGGGTGTTCGGATTTATATGTCACTTAGTATATGTGGAAGTAATTTGTAACGTATTTTTTACAATGTTATTGTTTTTTTGCATTGGGAAACATTGAATGTCTTGTTTTTGACCGAAATTTTTGCACCACTTGATCCTACTCACTATATTATCGTTGAATACTCGGTTTAAAGATGGCGCCACGTTTAAGTCTGGTCCCCAATTATACGAAAATACCGTCTAAGTGCCAACTCATTACACATTGCTGTATCGCAGTTATGAGGGTATAACCGTACATTGACATTGTTTTTTGAGAGAAAACTTACCGTTGCCGATTTAGACTATGCCTACTTGTGCTTATGGAAAGAGTCGTTAAAGGGTTGTGGAAATAAAACTTCCTTTTGTCGTTTGAAAGTTTTATTACAGAGGAATTTTCCAAGAAAGAAAAATTAGATCATATGGAGTGATAACTGCATTGGTCAAAATAAAAATAAAATAATGCTCTTGCTGTTAATATACTTGGTGGCTTCGGGAGTATGTGAGCAAGTTGAACAAAAATTTTTAGTCTCTGGACATTCGTATCTCGCTTGTGATCGAGACTTCGCTCAAATCGAGAAGCGAAATAAGTAATAAAATTCTTCACACTAGATAATATAAAAGAAATGATAGTAAATGCATGTTATAAAAATCCCTTTAAAGACATTCAGACACTGACGATGTGTTGAATACCGCAAAGTTAAAAATATCCCCAGTTTCGTGGATTATGATTAATAAAGAAAATCCCAATATGGTGGAAAATAAGAAATCTTTTAATGAATTGGAAGAATATACCGAGTGCAATGGGCTAACGAAGGGAAAACGGATACAAGACGTAGTAGTAGTAGACTGGGATAAATCTTGGGGATATGCTAGAGTATACACCTTTAAAATATTTAAGTTATTGAGAAAATTTATTTGACAATGACAAGAAATAAAAATACGTATTAATTAACTTTAAGTTCGTGTCTTTATTTTTTTTAATAACTTTAATTGGAACCTAGATGTTTTTAAACAGACTGATTCTTAGTTTTATAGGTTTAGTATTTTTTCGTAGAAAAAGCTTTCTCTGTTTTAAATGTTTTTGAAATGTAGTGTATTTCAAACACTTATTACCGATTAATAAAATATTTTTCACTGCAATACACTTGTTTTTTTATTTGTTATAAAAAAAACCTTAACACCTCAACAGTAACTTTTTGGCTCTTAGACGCTTTTAAATTTCCACGATAAGATTCACATATTATTTAATCAAAATAATATTAGTCTTAGTACTATTTAAATGTACAAAACTGCAATAAAAAAACAAAGTTGGCGATGGAAATCCGAAAAACAAACATCGAATTGAAAATTTGACGCCATGCTGTGGAAATTATAATGTGCGATTTACTTTCAAATACTATCTCAATTAAGTCATGAAAACATAAAAATGCTTTTGCCATAATTCTGGTGTAGAAAACTAGTACTATCTGATAATTTCAAGGGCTACCTAGGAAATTCTATTTTTTTAACAACTCAGGTTTGGCAATGTTAATGTATCATATCAAGAAATAAATTTGATGCTGGAATAGAGGACTCGTCACGTTGAAATTCTGATTATGTCACCTTGAAGGGGAGAAAAAATAGCAATATCAACGTGCGATTTATTTTAAAATCTTACTACAAATAAAGTCTGGGACAAATAATAGGATTTTGTGGCAATTCCGTTTTCTCCGACTCTCTCTTCCGAGATACCAATGGTGATGGTCGATTTTGAAACATCTGGTATATCATCAATGATTCTAGTTATTATAAAACGTATTGCACTGAAATCCTTGCTCATTTGTGATCTGAATGAAACCTCGCTTTTCGATAAATCGAGTGCTTAGATTCTCAATCCAATGTCTATTTGGCACATGCTCAATAGTACTTAGAATCCAGAACTTTCAAAACACTGGGATTCATAATTTCAGTGGAAAGTCGATCGGAAAAAAATACGATAGCAATCCGGTACAGAATCTATTAATTTGTACTGACTAAACATTAGAATTCAAATCAGGAAATGACACTCGCTTGATCGCCCGGATCAAAATGTGGCAGGTACGACTTGAGGTTTTCCAAGTGATGGTAAAGCATATCTTCTTGACGTCCAAGACCTATGCACAGCCATGCAACCATCGCTAAGACAGATCTACATAGAGATAAGGTGCCCCATTCGCTTAGGTTTGCTTTTGTCACTCGAGGTGGGTTGCTGAAACAGAGGTGTGATTATACTATTTGATTTTGGCCTCTGAATCGGTTCCTTGTGCGTTCACGATTCCTTTCGATTTCAATTCCTCCTGGTTCCAATTTCTGCGATTTCTAATCATATCGTCGGTGTTAACGATCAGTACAAGACCGAAAAAATTGCGCCAAACCTCTTACCCAGGAACCAGAATATACCTTCCAGAAAGTCTTTGATGCGCTCAATTCGAATCCCTGGCTCAAATCTCTCAATTGGCTATAGTTCTCGACGTATCCTAACCCAAATATGCAAAACTATCGATTTTTGTCTATATTTGAGGTTAAGTGGCATGGTAAATAATTTAATTAGGTACAAGCCTTGCCTTCTCAAATGCCGCCGAGAATTGCTCAAATATCTATTTCTGTTGCTCAGGCAGAGCACTTTGAAATTTACATTTTTTTTATCTAGATCGGCTGCTTTTATCAGAAGAAAGTAATTTTTCATTTTAAGGAAAGTGTGCATTTCGAAAGAAAGCACCTTAAACTCGGGCTTGACAGGGTGAGGTAAGTTGTGGGCCTATCATCTGGTTTGGTTATAGATATTTTATGGATTTAATGTTGAGAATTTATTGGTGTTGTTGTTCGCAGGTCTCTCACAAATCTAATACACACGTAATGATACTGTGTAGTGTAACAAAAAAATATAGTGAACCCCACAAAAATGAAAAAAAAAGCTCGAAGTAAAGAATGATGTATCATCTATAGTCCCTGTGGGTAGGTTAGAAGAAGTCGCGCGGGCTATTAACTGACACCCAATTGAAAGTGCTTTGTCTATTGGAGTTTTTTTGAAATGTATATACAATTATCCATGCCCTATCCTATCGGGTTGTATCCATATAACCAACAAGTGCCAAGGCACATCTTTTTCCCAAAAATATGTAATTCGCTTTTCTGAAGAAGTAAGCTTAGGGTGCCACGTAATTTGTATTCTTCCTGGACCTCTCTACGATCTTGTAACCACCGGATTAGTGAATAGCCAATGGAAAGATGAAGCCTCTACTGTCTTTTAGTATTTAGCTGTCCTTCTAGTAAAAACGGATAGCAATAACGGAAATACTGATGTGATTAAATCAATAAAAAGCAGCGTGAACCTGGAAAATCTGGACATTAGAATATATGGAACTAGGAAAACGAAACAAGGTGCAGCAGTTTACTGTAGGGATGGATCTGACTTAGAAAAACTCAGTGCTGCCCTAAAGTCTAAATTAGGCAGTGGATATCAAATAAAAAAGTCTGAAAAGTACAACCCTCGATTGCTTGTCAAGAATGTTACACTGGATGACGATCTGGGCGACGATGCAAGTATACTCCGTAAGGTTGTGATGCTGAATAACCTAGATGAGGAAAATTTGTCAATTATGAAGATAGTCACAAGGCTGAAAACGAGAAAGAGTAATCAAGTGCATCTGGTAATCGAAGTTCCACCAACGGTAAGAAAGAATATCATTGATAAGGGGTTTGTCTACCTGGGATGGATGAAGCTTTATGTATCTGACCATATCAATGTCTTACAGTGCCTTAATTGTTGTACGTATGGTCATGGTTCGAAAAACTGCAGAGTGCAGACCGTATCTTGCATTAAATGTGCAGAAAACCATAGTATTAGAGACTGCCAAGCTAGCACGGAAAATGTAAAAACTGTGTTAACCTTAATATCAAGTTTCATACAAAATTTAATGTAGCTCATAAGGCAGGTGATAAGTCATGTCCAGTATATATTTCTCATTATCATAATCTTAGGGATCGGGTTAATTATGAAGATTAAAGAGTTAAGAATTGGACATTTAAACGTACGGTCTCTTTTATCAGATTTTGATGCTTTCACAACTATACTGAAAACTGAAAATTTTGATTTTTTAGCAGTAAGTGAGACATGGCTCTCTAGCGACATCCCTGATAACATTGTACGTGTCGATGGATACAATTTTTTCCGTTGTGATCGAGCCTCACGAGGCGGTGGTGTTGGCATTTATATTAAATCGCATTTGAATACAAAAGTTATTAATGTAATGACTCTTTTTGTGCAAGTGAATGTAGATAAGCATAAATTCGCGGTTGGCGTTTTGTATCGTCCGCCGTCGCAAAGTCTTTTGGACTGTGTTAATGTCTTAGATAATTTGCTACTCGTCATCGTTAATGATTTTGACAATGTTATTGTTTTGGGTGATTTGAATCACGATTTTCTGAATTCAAGTAATATCATATCCTCGAGTTTTGAGGTAACTGGCTTTTCACAGTTAGTTACATCTCCTACACGGGTGACAAACGACACCACTTCATTGCTCGATCCATTTTTCACTAATCAGCCGGAACTTGTCACTGGCTGTTTGGTACTTGATGCTCATGAAATATCTGACCAAAAGCTTGTTATGTGTACTCTGAAACTTAGTGCTGGCAAGATGCATCAAAAATTCATATCCGTGAGAGACTTCCGTGAGTTTGATGAGGCAGCTTTCATTTCAGATCTGTGTATCTCTAATCTTGATGACTTATATCTTATGGATAACATGGATGCTAAAGTGGAACATCTGACGACAACCCTCACAAATATTTATAACAAACATGCTCCGATTAAGACACTACGTGTTAATAAACCGCCATCTCCTTGGTTGGATGAGAGAATGAAAAAGCTTATCAAAGAAAAAGATTCAACTTTTACCAAATATAAAGCTAGTAAATCACTTGAAGACCTTGATAAATTCAAACAGCTAAGGAATAAGGCACTACATAAAATTCGAATTAAAAAGAGAGAGTACATTCAGAATCTAACTGATCAAAATAATCTAAAAACTTTATGGTCTGGGCTGAATAGGCTTAACATAAAATCTCGTCCAAAACAAACAATACCAGATGAGCTAGCCGATGCAAATAGTATTAACAATTATTTTATGTCAGTTTATAGTTACGACAGTGTCTCAGAAAATGTATGTCGGCTTTATGACAGCAACAAATTGGACAATCGAAATCGCTTTTCTTTGCGAATTGTCTAGCCGGTGGAAATATTGAAGGCAATCAAAGATATCAAATCAGATGCAAAAGGAATTGACACCCTCTCACTAACCATGGTCAAAGTAAGTCTTCCCGTAACTTTTTTCCATATCACCCACATAATGAACTCATGTTTGGAAAATGGCTACCACCCCAAGCTGTAGAAGCTGTCTCTAAAATATCTAAACCTACTGAACTTAAACATCTTAGACCCATTAGTTTGTTGCCGGTGCTAACGAAAATTTTGGAAAAAATTATACAGCAACAAGTTGTCCATTACATAGAGGAACTTAAAAGAATATCGTCATGTCAATTGGGCTTCAGGAAGCACCATAGTACCACCTCGGTACTGTCAGATCTTTGTGATAATGTTATTAGGGCAGTTCACAAAAACTCAGCAACAGCAGTGGTATCAATTGACTATTCCAAAGCATTCGATCGAATAAATCATGAACCTTTGTGCGCCAAGCTGAGGTATATAGGCTTCGATGATGCTGCTGTCAGTTTTTTCCGTAGCTATTTGTCCGGTCGCACGCAATGTGTCGCAATCAATAACGATCAATCCAATATTATGACTATTCCGTCAGGAGTTCCGCAAGGCTCAATTTTGGGACCTGTGCTCTTTTTGATTTACGCGTGTGACCTGCATAAAGCAGTTGACAATTCAGGGATACAAACATTTGCTGACGATACTCAAATAATATTCCATTTCGACGCCTCAGATACGCAAAATTTATCAGACATTTTACAGCTTAATTTAGATAGGGTACATCAGTTTTCTATGGAACATAATCTTGCTATTAATTCAGATAAGACACAAGTGTTGTTGTTTTGTTCTGATCAGAAGAGGAAAACTGTCGAAGATTCTTTCCTCTGACCATTGATGGCATAACATTACAGCATACTCAAACAGCTGAGGTACTAGGAGTGGATTTTGACACAAAATTAAGATTCCGCAGCCAAATAGCTAATGTGATGAAAAAAACATACCTGTGTTCTAGGGCTCTTTATTCAAATCGCTACTTGCTTAACTTTAGGCTGAGAAAAAAACTGTGCGAATCTTTGGTGATGTCAATGCTCAGTTACTGTGATGTCGTTTATTATCCATGTTTGGATCAATTGACCAAAAATCGTCTTCAAATCATCCAAAATAACTGTGTTCGCTTTATTTATGGGTTGCGTAAATATAGGGAATTGAACTGGCTTAGGTTAGGATGTTTGGTATAAACATAAATTCTTAGTTTTAGTTCATAAAATAATATTGTCATCAAAGCCTGAATATCTAAGATCTAAGTTAAGATTTAATTACGAAGTGCATGACAGGGCTGTTAGGAATCGTTATAGTATCAGAACCATCCCACACACTTCTGCATTATTCCAACGAGGATTTACATATAATATATTTTATAATCAGTTGGACAACAGTATTAAATTGATGTCTTTGGAAAGTTTTCGTAAACATACTAAAAGCATGTTGCTCGCTATTGATTAAATAAGCATTTCTGCTACAGATATAGATTGTGTCTATTTGTATTTTATACTTAGGTATATATGTGTTCTTTTTTTCATTGTTCTTATATTTTTTCCATGTTTTGAACATCAGATGTAACCGACATAAACAGTTAAGTGTAAGAGTAGCCTTGGCTATACTTCGCTGTTTATGTCCCTCCGGGTTATCCAATAAAGAAGTTATTATTATTATTATTATTATTTATTACTTTATCGTTAGATATATCATTGGAATCTTTTCAAACGGGGGCTCACCTTGACTATACTGTTCCAAGGACAAACCCTGCTCCGTACAAGGTCACATCTATCAAAAATGAAGGGTACTATTGAAAATAATTTAACATTCAAAGACGTGTTCAAGATTATTGGTATACCTCATGTCGTGATAGTAGCCACTAGTCGTGTTCCTTTCTTCTTCAATTGCTAACAGTGCCAGTTTTTCGTCATACTGCGCTGTGCACAGATGTATAGTGAAACACGTTAAATATATAACTAGAGCTATAGAGCTGCATTTATGTCTCCATACCTCGCCTAAATAGTCTTTAGTCATCATATGACCAACATCTATTTTGTCCAGTACTGACACGATGCAGAGAACACACAGGCCGAAGAACACTCTGAAAAACAAGAATATAGCTGATTTTATAAATAATCAAACATTGGGACAAAGTTCGAAGTTGAGTACTGAATTCTCAAGAAACCTATAACTTTCGTGGTATCCCTATACAAAATTAAAGAATACTATGTATAAAAAATGACTGCTCGATTTGTTAGAAGAAAAATGGCTCGCATTCAAAATTGTCGAAATGTGTTCCACTGCATACTTACTACAAAGCAGTGAACAAAAAGCGGTCGGTCTTTAGAAAAAACTAATGTATAAAAACAGAACATATCAGAATACGAATTTGAAATTGAAAGAGTGTCACCGAATGTACAGGAAACCATACTATCTTTCTCATCCCTTGAAATCTAAGATACGTTTTTTCAAAAAAAATCTTGTTCGCCTGGCTTCCAGGATGTTCGAGTCCTCTCATACGTTGCAACTTGACCACTCCTTTGATGACCTGATATTGGTTATGAGAACTGATTCCTATACAGAATCTCGAGCTGATAAAATGATTTGAAATTGAAAGAGAGTCACCGAATGTACAGGAAACCATACTATCTTTCTGATCCCTTGAAATCTAAGATACGTTTTTTAAAAAAAAATCTTGTTCGCCTGGCTTCCAGGATGTTCGAGTCCTCTCATGCGTTGCAACTTGACCACTCCTTTGATGACCTGATATTGGTTATGAGAACTGATTCCTATACAGAATCTCGAGCTGATAAAATGAAAGGTGTTATTCAAACTTACACGGTACAAGAGTCAATAAATTTTTGTCTAAATGACCTCATAGTTTAAAACTTTAAGTGCTTTATATCGACCACAATCACCATAATCTTACTAGTTTTTATAATGTAATCTAAAACGTAATGAACAAATAAATGGCATTAAGTTTTTCTAAGTTAAGTCAAAATTTGTAGTCAGTAAGTTTCATTAAATTAAGTATTTAAAACACACATGACAACAGCGCGTCGGCCTTTCATCACTCTTATCGAACCGGCAATCGATCGCAAACGGTATCAGTGGTTAGTTATCGGGCATCGGGCCTGTTGTTTTGTTTTTGTTCGCGTACGTCGTCGCGTTTATTTACAATGTTTTCGAATCGAGAGTTCGCCGACTTAGTTTACGGTGACGCTCGTCGGAATTGCAAGGTTTGCAACTCAAATATATCGCGACAGATTTCGCCAACGGGTACACCCAGACAGAAGGACATTTGTGCAAGTGTACCAGAGACTTCGAGATACAGGAAGTGTTCAGCGCACTAATATTCGCACTCGTGAAAGACAGGTTACTGTAGAGCAGGAGGAACAAATTTTAAATATCGTGGAAATCAATGCAGATATCAGCACTCGGGAATTAGGCCGCCGCGTAGGACTATCGCATACCATAGTCCATAGAATCCTACGGGAAAATTTGCTTTAACCATACCATGTACAACGAGTGCAGGCCTTGTTACCAGAAGACTATCTTCGCAGACTAACATTCTGTCAGTGGTTTTTGCACAGAAACATTGAAAACCCGGTTTTTCTTAAAACCATTCTGCGACGGACGAATGTACTTTTAACGCGAGACGGGATATCAAATTTCTATAATACTCACACGTGGGCCCAAGAAAATCCTCATACCATTCGTGAAGGTCATTTCCAACAACGTTTTAAAATAAATATTTGGGCGGGTATTCTTGACGGTCAGGTAATTGGCCCTTTCGAGTTATCCCTAAAGTTGTCAGAAGAGGATACCTTTGCTTTCTAGCCAATTACCTACCAGAACTTTTGGAACAGACCTAAGACAACATGCCATTACAACGGAGACAGAATTTGAGGTTTCTTCATGACGGGGCACCACCATACTTTTTGCGGCGTGATTCAGATCTGAATGAACATTATCCAAATCGCTGGATCGGTCGAAATGCTCTTGATCCTCGAAAATGGCCAGCAAAATCTCCTGACCCCAATCCGATGGATTTCTGGTATTGGTGAGAACTTAAAGGGATGTTTATGGGGCTGGTCCAATAACAACTGAAGCGCAACTTCGCGAAAAAAAAATTAATTCGGCTGAAATAATAAATGGACAACTTCGAGGACCTAGAGTAAGAAGAAACTGGGCTCGTCGTAATGAAGCTTGTGTGGAAAGTGGAGGACGACATTTTGAACACCTTCTTTAAATACAAAAAAGTGCAGTGTGGGTTTTAAAAACAAAAACAATGTATGAATCAAAATTATGTTTCCTATTCATAAGTGGATTTTTTTAATACGTTCAATAAACTTTCACACACCGGGTGAAGCGCTGTGACAGTTAGTGGTAAGTCCGTTTTTTTAAATTGTTTGAATTTTACGAGTACATTATCAAATAATGAGATAATACCTGAGAGCCAAAAATAACAAACTCCATCTTTATTTACACTGCGTTCCGTCATAATTTGCGTCTGGCATTGCGGCGTTGTCAGATTTTATTTTACTTTAAAGTCCCCAATGTTATATGAAACTTTTTCAACCCTCTCTATCACCCATTTAAATAACTACTATCATACCGTATATCGAGCATCTAGTGGGCCGCCTTCCGCCACTGGTGGAAGAGAGAGAGTCAGAGTTCTAAAATTCAAGACTTCCATTTAACTTAGATATCATCAGGGAGAACTTTATTTGTACAGGTAAATAATCTAAGTATTACCCGAAAATGGCAGCGCCACAACGAACAAACTTGATGAAGGTTTGGCAGCCAAACGTATCCGGATTACATCTTTGCTTCTATCGCAGCAAGGGATATTAGACATGGGTTTAGCATAAAGTCTGGCAGTTTCCGGCATATGAAAGTTGAATTTTAACTCATTCAGATTCATCCAGTCGCAAACCCGGATATAGCTTTTAGCCCTCCTTGCGAAATGTGCTTCATAGTGTAAGACCTCATACTCAGAGTTTGTTCGTAATATGCTGGAGAACCTTAGCGCTTATTATGCCCCATATTAATAAATATTATACATGACTCGCAAGAATCGAAAATTTGTATTTTCAGATATACACACATCATCAAAAGTGTTGGACCCCCTGCATGAATCCGTCTTTATACCCTGTATAGTAACAATTGATTTGCTTTTTGAGATATCTCGTTCCAAGATAGCTGTGCTTGGTTCCGAAAGGTTGTCAGTCTTTTTGAGAGATGATGTAAATGAGTCACTTTTCTTCCCATCCCCTGCTTATACCTTATGTTTTGTATACACAGTTTTATGTGAATTAGGAGGCTTGTATTTATTTATTTATCGGTCGACCAGAGGTTCGCAGGTTTGGATCTCCGCCTTAGAAGTTAATTCCGAGTCATGTATGTTGCGTTGTCTATATCACGTACCAGATCCGTGCAAGATCGACATATATGTACATAGCATCGCTGGAGTTGGCTTATTCAATATGTTAGCAGCAGATGGCTCAACTAATACTACTACGACAAGAACTACTACTTCATTTGATTTACATCATTTTACATGGTGTCTATTTTATTTGTCACTGCGGGTGGTGATCAATAAAACAAAGTACATACCCAAAAAATGCATCGCTGTATGCCCCATACTGCACAAAGTTTTCAGGTTTCTCATCTTTGAGACACGAGCTTACGTACAGTGTGTGGCTCAGCGCAAGGCCTCCAAGTAGTCCATGGACTAGTAGCGCCAATCTTGTCCACCATTTTTGGAACAGCATCGATATCGTTATAGGGTAGCATAAGTCAAAACAGCCTCCTTTTTCTTCAGTGTATTCTCGATCTGTAGAAGTGAATTCAAGTAGATGACAGCAATTTCCACAAGTCGCTACAAGTAGAGCTGCCCATTGATAAAACAATGATTCTAACCTTTGGATACAGTGGAGAAGACACAGTAAATTCAAGGGTTCATCAAGTTGACTAATATGTAATGATTGCCTTAGTTCTTACAAGCTGTTTTTTTGTTTTCCAAACATTCAGAGTAAGTGGTTTATTTATTAAAACATATTTACGATTTTAATAAAGATGTTGATATAATATAAGATATTTCTTATATAGATGAGTACGAGCCCCTTCCCATTTGAGTTGGCCCACTTCAAGATTTGTACCAAAATATGCCTATATAAACTAAACATGACGAAACTATTTACTTCTAAAACAATTTATTTTCTCAAAAACATTTTAGAAACACTCTAGTCGTAAAAAATACATATTTGAAATCACTTAGACCTATAACTAATATAACATCTGAACAAATAAACAATGTGCGAATAAATGCGCGAAGTTAACAAAGCAACAATTGAAAGATTGGGTAACATCACCTTTATTTTTTATTACGGCTGAAATTCTTTGGGGCATAGTGTTAACCAAGTTTTGGCAAAAATTTGATGTGAAACAGTCCTATATTTCTTGAAGCTTTTGTCTCAGTTCGGTGATTGTACGAACAGGATGTTGTCGTGGAACCTTTTTCATATCGTGCCACAAAGTTTCAATAGGTGACAGATCTGGACTGCTAGAAACCCATTTCAAAAGTGGTACATTATTTTCTTCCATCCATTTTATAGGCATTTTTGAGGTATGGCACGCTGCACCATCTTGCTGAAACACAAAATCTTGCCCGGATGTCAAACATTCTTCCATCACTGGTAAAAGCGATTCTTCTAAAATTGACAAATATTTGTTTGTATCCACATTTCCATCAATAAAATGAAGTTTTCCTACTCCTTTTGATGACATACTGCCCCAGACCATAATGGATGCTGGAAATTTCACTATTCTCTTTAGACAGTCAACATGGAATGCTTCATTTTTTTGCGACTGTCACCAACACAAACTTCGAATCGGGCCTCATCACTCCATTATATTGCACACCGTTGTTGAGGTGTCCATTGTCTATGTTCTTTCTAAGCCGATTTTTCTTTTGCAGTGAAGTTAATAGTGGCTTTTCTTTGGCCTATAAACAAGTTGTGCAACTTTAGGGTTTTTACTTCTCTTTTTTTTATAAGAAAACTTGCCTTGAAAGTGCTAAATCCCAGTTTGAGGGCCTCTCTATGAGTTGTGGACTTCGAAATTCTCTTTCCAACAGCGTCACTCCACAGAGCTCTTAATTGGAAATAATTGGCACGCCTGTTTTTCACGATTATTCTTCTTAATGCTCTTCGGTCGGCATTTGTGATATTACTTTTTTTCACATATCGTGGCTTAATATTAACTGAACCAGTTACGTTATACCTTCTAACAATATTTCTCACACTGTACTGCGATAAGTGTAACAAAGTTGCAATTTCTGAGTTTGATTTCCCAGAATTAAAAAATTTAATTATCAGTAACCGAATTTTCTCCACCTATGCGCTATAGACTTATTTTGCATTGAAATGAAAATAGGTTGATATGCTGTAATTGCAACATGTGTGTTATTTTTATGCTGCAAATTTGATTAGGGAGTGATAAAGTTGGTGTTTTCTACTATACTTCGAAGTTGAGTCATTTATTTTAACAGTGAGTAGATCTGATCAAAAGAAATGTTTTTTCCTTTACCATTTTTCTGGTAAAATTAAAGTAACAAAGTCATAGCCCTTTGGAAGTTTGCGTACCGCCCTGTCTCAATAATATCATGTGCTCGTGTTTGGCAACAACGGATATAATCCGCCTTATCGGTTCATCGCATCGGAAACAAAAAAGCGAAGGAATTTGGAACGATGTTTTTACAATTATGTTATTCAGTTCAGTTATACATACAGTCAGTGTCAGTCGCGTGTGAATAGTGTCTGTTGCGTGGCTCAAACGAAATAAAAAATGGCACATGTTTATGCGGATCGGTTTCCCAATCGAGTGCAACCAACCCCTCGTGCCTTTGTTAATGTAGTACAACGGGCTCGTGAATCAGGTGACTTAAGACCTCACAGGGGACCTCACGATCAAATACAGGTCCGCACTGAAATACTTGTCGGGAGGATACTTTATAAAACAAGGTAAAAATTTTTTTTATTTTTTTTATTTTTACATACATATTTTGGTTTATCTTCCTTCTACAATCATTATCTGAAAATTAATGACTCAACTTCAAAGTCACCCTGTATATTATCAAAATATTCATTGTTAATATTTTGGACCTATAACACCCTGCTCCTTTTTTATTATTTGTGTTTGATAAGAAAAAAACTAAGATTTCAATAGTTGGGCCAACTGAAGTGGGAAGGGGCTCGTATATTATCAAGAAGCAACTAGCTAATCTAATAGCTGTATGTGCTCGAAAATATGGGCTTTATGTATAAAAATATTATTTAAGTAAATATTAACAATATTCATGATTTTCTCAATTCAAATGTTTGTTTATTATATTACCCTTGAATATTTCGTACTGCAAACCCCAAAGCAAAATTTTCACAATTCGAAATAGCAATTTTACACAAACCAGATCGATTAGCGGCAGTTATATATATATATATATATATATATAGGTGAAAATTAAAGCTTCCGCCTTTTGTTGGGTACTTCGACAAAATTTAAGCAACGAAGACTCTGCTTAAATTTTGTCGAAGTACCCAACAAAAGGCGGAAGCTTTAATTTTCACCTAACTGGTCTAGACGACAATGACCACGTCTCAAGTTATATTCATATATATGTATATTTAGAGAGAGAGAGAGAGAGAGAGAGAGAGAGAGAGAGAGAGAGAGAGAGGTTATGCTCTCAACACAGTGTTTAGCTTATTGCGATCACTACCTCTCGGTGCAGTTTTGCAAGGATACCTTCTATTCTGATGAACACAAGTATATAACGATGGTAATTATATTGTCAATGATTATTTCATAAGTGAATAAGTAAAATAAGGATGTTGAACCTATGTGCGTGGCTCATTTTTATTAGCCAACCCGATATTACAACATGGTATCGTAGGGGAACTTTAAATTTATGGTGTTCGAAAAATATCATGAAGCATTAATCATAAATTTTTTCACCTGTATCTGCATAGTCCTCATCATATCTTGATCTCGAAATTGGTTCAAATTTTTTCTTCTTCTGAACATAGACGTTATCACTTACACGAGCACCATCTCTCATTTTCTTGGATTTGGAATTGTTTGACATAAGTTGGAACCGTTTTTCACACGAAGATCATCTTTCATTATAAAAAATGTCACAAATGACAACATTTCTCGGCACATCATTTTTTAACCTAGCTGGCAGCGACTCCTTGTACTCATTTTAAAAACTTTTTTCTGTGATTTGCACCGCCTTGGGTTCAAGGGGAGGGTAACTTAATACGAAGGTAATGTTATCGCCGTAGGCTATATTAGAGTAGTTCTGCAACGTCAAGGTTAAACTCTGGGCTAATAGAAATTTTGTTACGTTGAAAGCGCTGAAATATAGATATATACTAAGTGACATATACATCCGAACACCCAGTTTAAATGGTTTTATTTTAATAAAATTTTGTATAAGTACTTAATGAAGCATAATAAGTAAATGATAAAAATTTCAAAATGATTGCACTGCTTTAAAGCCCTTTGACCTTTAATAATGTGTGGATGCACCCCGATGTGCTACGCATTCTCCAACGCGCCTAGGCATGCTGCTGATCAGGTGGTCAATGTCCTCCTGTGGTATCTTATTCCACGCAACCACCAACTCCTCTCGAAGTGCTTCTAGAGTCTGAAGAGGACGATGCAAATTGAGCAATCTCCTACCCATCATATCCCACACGTGCTCAATTGGGGATAAGTCGGGAGATCTTGGTGACCATGGTAACAATGTGACATCATTATGTTGAAAGAAGTCGATTGTGACTCTTGCAACATGTGGTCGGGAATGCCAGGGTGTCAAGATAGGGTAAAAGATGGGGTTCTAGAACTTCGTGGATATAACGCTGCGCGTTCTGATGAAGATTAGAGGTGACCTGGAACCATAAGCTATAGCACCCCAAATCATAACTCTAACAGTGTGATGAACATGTCTTTCAACAAAAAACTGTGGATTCCTCCTTTCACCACGTCGCCTTCTAACCCTGGCACGACCATCGTGCATGCCTAAACAAAATCGAGACTCGTCACTAACGACAATACTGTTCCATTCCTGATCCCAGAGTGACCGTTGTCTGCACCACTCAAGGCGATTACGTCGGTGTTCTCGAGTTAAAGGGAGGACCCAGTGTGGCCGGTATGAAAACAAGCGAAAACTTCTCATTCGTCGGTAAACACTTCGCATGCCAATAGGTCTTCCGTGTTCTGCAAACCATCCATTTGCAATGGACCTGGTAGTGGAGAAACGGTCCCTTAAGGCCAATAATCTTAGGCGGCGATCTTCACGGTCTGTTGTTCTACGGCGGCGTCCAGTGCCCCTTGCTCTTTGCGTACGGTCTTCTCGAAGCCATGCCTGACAACACCTAACTACAGTGTCTACACTTCTTTGCACTCTAACTGCAATTGCCCGAAAAGAAAGTCGAGCTTCCCGAAGTCCCACTATACGGCCCCTATCAAACTCACTAAGTTGACGAAATCGTACAGGTCTCCGTACTCTAGGCATCGTAACCGATCGTAAAGGATGTCAAGAACCAAAATCCGCCAACGTTGATTCTTTACTGCGGCTGAAATATTAATTTTTAGAGCGTTAGTGAATTAAAAAAAAAGCAGTATAAAAACCGAAATGTCCAACTGATAAGGCTGAACATTTTTTCACCTGTTATTTACAGTGAGATAAATACATTCACCAACTTTTATTAAAGTAGTTTTTTCTCTTCTTCAGACAAGCTGGGCTATTCCATAATAATAATAATAATCCGGCTTTATTTATACAAAGTATAAAAAGGCAAACTGTTGCTAAAAAGCGTTTTTCAACTTAACCCAATAAATATTTGTGTAAATTTTCTAATCCCAATGAGACCAAAAGAGTTAAAAAAAGTCCTGTAACGAGTCCCTATTCATGCTCACAGTACTGAATTCTAGACCATATTAAGGTTTCGCACAACTTCCGCTTGAGACCAGTATTCATACTTTTCCTATGAGGAAATAATTGCTTCAAGACACCGAATGATCTTCGGCACAGTTGACTAACATGTTTTTCAGAATCAATCCAGAGTCCTAAATTCTTACACTCATTTTTTATAGGCTGGTGTAAAATGCTCAATGACAGTAATGGTTTTGCCTGACTTTTTTGATTTTTGGTCCAAACATAACTGCGGATGATTTTAACGGGTTAATTTTGAGATTATGGACACAAGATACGTTAGATAAATTTATTAAATCATTATTAATCAAATGTTCGGCTTTCTTAAATCTTTAATATCAAAGCCATTTAACGTACTCGTGAAAGTCAGGTAAATGTAAATTGAGAACAATAATGGTCCCAGAATGGAACCCTGTGGTACCCCTAGTGTAACTGGTATCTCCTACGAGATACTTGACCCAATCACAACCATCTGACTTCTGTCAGTGAAATAACTTAATACAAGATTAATTGCAGATTCCGGAAAACCAAAGTTTATAAGCTTTTTCACAAGAATTTTTCTAGATGTGTACAGTGTGTCAGCGTCAGCGTTTTCCTATTGTGAGGCTATGTTTTCTTTTTGATTTGTAGGAAATTTCAGACTGATATAACACATGATATAAATCTAAAGCATGAACAATTTAATGCAAATAGATATTTGTAACATAACCCCAAAATTGGAATTTAGAAGCCCGAAGAGAAAACCCTTTTGGATCAATTTGTAGAGCAGGCCCTTGCGCCACACCTTGTCAAATGTCTTTTAGACATTGATAACCAGTACTTTCGTTGTAAGGTGAATCCCCTGGCTCTTCACTCAACAAGACCGGAATCCAAATTGCACGTCAGGTATCACATTGTAGTCTGACGAAACATTTTAAAGCTGACAGTAGGCTAATGGGACAGTAATCCTGGGAGAATATCGAACACATTTTCTTTGGAATCATTATAACATCAGCGGCCTTCCACGCCTCTGAGAAGCACTGGCACGGCATTGATTATTAACACGATATGAGTTAAGGTCTTACGCAAAAGTACCTTCAGCGTCTTATTAGATTTGCTCCTCTACAGGTGTTCTACGCACCTAGAGGTCTTTATTATGACCCTGAAGCGGTGCTGGTGTGCAATGTGGGATCTCGGAAGACTCCGCTACAACTCTTCAGATGAGGAATCTTCTGAAATAGACTCCTCTGACGCCGCTTGCCCTAAAATATGTCGCGACGTATCTTACAATGTGTTGCTTCTCGTCGAGGATATTATGAAGGTCAAATTTGGGAGAAAATTGTCGTTTCATAGCATCAGCGGAAACCTCGACCATTCCTCTGTAGTATAGACTATGCCCCCAGGACCGTGGATGTGCGCAACTTTCCAGAGCGGTATATTTGAGTCAAGTATCCTCGCTTGAAACTCGCTCCATTGCTCATTATGGAATTCATGAACAGCATTTCTCACTTTATGAACAAGATTCGTCGCTCTGCGAATGGCATCAGGATAAAGACTAGAACTTATCACACTATGCGAATGCCTACAGAATTCGCATCCTCTAACAAATGCCTGAAGGGCAAAATAGAATCCCTACAACTAACCAGTGCAATATAAAGAATCTATCAGATATATCGTGCGATTTATACTTTATACTATCACCGCTGAACAAAAAGCATTTCCGGGGTAAACTAATCTGGCCAAGCGATCAGGAATATATGTAATGCAGAGTGCGCAGTTTCCGATTGATGAATTGGGCCGTTTCTCAACGGGAAATACCGTGAAACAAAATTGTTACCGTGTCCGAGCTTCACGCTCAATTCGGTTTGCCTGCGGACGGCAGATTAAGTGACTCATAAGGATTATTGCTGATATATAGCAGTTTGGGGGACATGAATTTCCTTTTCGATGATCACGGTTTTTGTTTTTCATAAATTTCTGATATTGAGGACATTATCTCCACGGGCGCTGTCAGTAGAGGTACTTTAAGTGGATAGAGCGCAGATATAGGAGGTTTTTGAAATGAGAAAGGGTATAATTCATTCGGAAAGGGAGAGGCAAAGAAGTATGTTTGCATTTGCTCGGAAAGATGTTTTGATTCGGTTTTTCCATAATCTTATTAAGACATGGGTCATCATGTTTGTAGTACCAACATTAGGGCAAAAGTTTTTTAAATAATCTTCCAAAAAATGTTTTCTTCGCTATATTCTTTAGGGTTGTTTAAGTCATTCTGAACAAAAAAGGTCCTTATGAATTATTACGATTTTCTTGGATGACACATACACAGCGAGTATGTTTAGCATGGTGATAAAATGGTGTGTGCCCACGAGACGGCGTGGTGTAACTAGAAAGCGATGGGAGATACCTTAACAATCCGATTGTTTCACGTTAACGCCGCTAGATGAGACCAAGGCAGCTTGAGAGAGCAAAGGAACAGTGGCGTCGGTAGGATCGAATTTAAATTTTTCGTCGATATTTCTGTCAATGCTGGAAATACCGAGCTGATCCTACTCACTAGGAGAAGAAGCCTTGACGGGCTTGTCTTGCTGACCTTTTTTGGAACTGAACTGAAGAGAGCATGTTGAATACAACGTTAACAAGGTTCGCAGTTCAATGTGGACTTGTAGACGTGTTGTCGGTGTAAGGTGGGGGCTTAAGTCTAAAGTGCTTTAGTGGCTCTACACGATTCCCTTTTACGGCTCCCTGGTCTGGTGGCCTTGCATTAGAACTGAGACAACTAAGGCCTAACTCAATAAAATTCAGCGTTTGGGATGTATTAGCATTACAAGCGCAGTGCGAATAATGAGATTGAGTGCAATGGAAGCTCTGATGGATCTGATGATCCGCGGTGGAGCGAGAGTAGTCGCTCATCGACTGTGGAGTCAGGGCAGCTGGGCCTTCTTGAATCCTGTCAAGTAGTAGTAGTATCCAACGAGGGAGGAGTGGCACGCTGGTAGCCTGAGACCCTCAGGAGCGAGCAGGGTACTGGGACACGCTGGGACAAGGGGCAATGATGAAGACAGGATCAGCCATCAAGCGCGTTGGTCCTGAGCCAGCCTTAGGAGTGCCCGCGCATAGAGTTAGGAGTAAAATGGAGAAGTGGATTGCAAGACTCGGAAGTGGAGAAGTATCTCCAGACATCTCTGCCAGGCACGGGAACCCATTGGAGGGCCCAGTGTTAAGGATGAACGTTTCTGATTATATCTAGATAGAGCCAACCTAAGGTTGCTGGTGGGACTGTTGTCTGGCCATAACACGTTAGAGCGCCACCTGCATGTGATGGGGGTGGCTGAGGATCCCTTGTTTGAGCGCTGCGGGGTAGAGTAAGAGGCCTGGGCACATGTTCTATGTTGCTGTGAAGTTAAGCAGACTATACTGGAGTCCATTACTTTGGACCATCAGGACATCAAGGAGCTTGGACTCAAGGCCAGACTCAACTTCGCTGAAATTTAAGGATCTAAGGAATGTAGAGGTGCATAAGGGCCCGTTTAAGCGGCCTATGCACTGGCTTGTTATGGTGGCCGGAATGTCTGTAATTTCACGATACATTCATTCATTCAGGACCAAATTTGCATCTAACAGTCGAACCTGAAGCTGGTTGGCAGATGTTGCTGTAGACTAATTGGTTAGTTCGGCTTCACGAAATATAGCAGATGCGGATTCGAATCCCTCCGACGTCCACTTCACATATCTCTCAAATTCTTGTTTACTAAACAAGTAATTTGATAATGGTGCAAAAATATATAAAATATACATTGAGAGCGCACTTGATTACCTTTTGGAGGCCACAGGTTTTCAATATCAGTACTCATGGAATCATTTGACACTTTGTTAATGGATGTTTTAATGGGTGTTTGAAGAATATTTATGTACGTTAGCAATGTTAAAATTTTTGTTTTTCATATTTTACTCAGATAGTCCCATGAAATCTAAGGAGCTTCTATCGGGAGTAAAAAAAACAACTATTAGAATCTATTTAAATAAAAATGCTTAAATAATTTTTGTCACAATTTTGGCACTGACAACCTGTGGATATGTTGAAGGAGTGTTCGTTAAAAATATTAAAAAAACTAACCAAAATATTTTTCCGAGTATATACGAATATACTCCGTGAACTATGATAACAACAGAACAAGCAATATTATAGGTGACTATATTGTATATATATATATATATATATATATATATATACAATAATAATAGTATTTACTATAATGAACTTGTAAAGTAATAAATTCATAAGATAATAAACAGCATAGAAGGCAATGAGTGTATGAGTTACTACAATTATTAATTAAAAACAATGTATTGTGTTAGTACCAGTTACAAGCGTTCGTTGTCACGGGTAACAGATGGTGCAAAACAAAACGTCCGTATCGCTTAATGGTCACAGGTTGGATGGGGAGATGGCTGGCCGCGCTGTTGCGTAAGTGACGCTGACGGTGGAGATTTTGGTACTTGTCATGACAGTTGATTACAAAATCCCAAATAATACCATATCTTTAATTTTATTCGGTTTCAATTAGCATGTGTCCAAATTTTCATGTTCCTCCGTATTGTGGTCCAGACGCGATGCTGACTGACTGGGTAGACAATCACATTTATATGCATATCGAGAACATTTTGAAGCACACAGCGTTTTTCCGCTGGTTTTATTTTTGCTGGGGTAGCCTTATGGCAAATGTATATTTGGGTGTTTCTCAATCGCTGTAAATATAGTGTGGAGGTTTGTTCACTTCCTGAAAAATATGGATGTATGGATATCAAAAATCCTGTATGGCTTTGTGCGAATACCGCCTAATGTGCCACAATAGTACTGATGAACGGCAAGTAAATTAATGAACGTTTGGAAACGAGCAATATCTATGATATTTTTGGTAGAGTCTTTGTCATCAAGTAGGTGTTTAATGGCTATCTGCAAGAGGCTTATAAGAAAAAACACACGGTAGGTGATGTTAAATTAGTAAAATAGCATAGTAATTAAAGAAAATAATATAAACGGGTAAAAACAATCAACAATAGTAGGTACAAAAAAACATTTTATCCAAATTAATTTTGTCTGAATTATATGTAATTTCTTAATATTCAATAAACTGGTAATACCTCAATGACAAGCTGTCGTCTCATACTTTGACAATATTTCGTTTTCAATATTTCATAGGCTGCTAAGATTTATTGAAAGGATCTTGAAGCTCATTCGCTATATTTGACGGACTGTAATCCTATAGGTGGAAAATTGAGACTTGTTGATTTGACAATCCTGATGGAATCCACCCTAAAGTTATTTTCCAGGATAAAAGCTAGCCTATGTGTTATTCTAGATAAGTCGATACTTAATTTCATTTAAATCCGTTGTTATTTTGGCATAATTTAGTAACAATCTTCCACACCTTATCATTTGCAATACTAAGTAGGGTCTGACCTCTTAGGAGTGTTCACGTTTGCAGATGCGATATTTGTGACATTGAAATCTCTCTACTATAAGGCGCATCATAAGAATATTTTCAGAAATCCTTGCTTATCTGTGATCCGGATTTTCATTTCCTGAATAAATTGCGTGCGTAGATTCGGAGTACGACGTTAATTTGTTATCGGGTTGTTGCAGGCGCCCAAATTCGTCCCCACGACACTTCAGGTTTTTCATTGCCATATTCGAAATACCCGTCCAAGATCACCAGAGTATACCGAGTTCCGTTCACCGATAAGAAAAAAGGAAATTTTGTACGGAAAAGTCGAAAGGCTTATAAATTTTTTACATAGACAACAACAGGTTCCTATTACAGTGCAACCACATAACAGGTCAAGTTAGGAAGCTAAAACTCGGCCCAATGAAATTCAAGCACGCATACTAGGTTTTAGCATAAAAGTGGCAGTTGAAAGTTTTAAGATGACGGCTGGGCAAAATTGTGGGATATTTTTTATAAGGACTGAGGGGCTCTAAGATACAACCCTAAAATATAAGAACACTATGTTTCAAAATGGATCAGATTTGGTCATTTTTTTTCAACGAAATCTTCCACAAATCATCATACATTACTTATAGCGGAACTTATTGACCACATAGTCCAGGGCCTTGAAGGGGGAAGAAGTGTACAAATTACCCTTTGTGACCTTAGCAAGGCCTTTGACTGTGTGGATCATGAGAAGCTGCTGTGTAAAATGGAGCATTATTATAGTTTTCGTGGGGTGTCTCTGTGCTTTTTTAGATCATATCTGACTGGAAGATCTCAGCTCGTTAGTAGTAATAATAAACATTCAGAAATTAAAGGTGTAAATTATGGTGTCCCTCAGGGATCCATACTTGGACCAATACTTTTTTCCCTTTACATTAATGATCTTTATTAGGTACTACTTGTTACCAGATATTTGTGTATTGTACGCAGATGACACCACCCTTATAAAGAGTCACAAAAATCTTCATATATTACAAAGCTTATCTAAACAGCTTGAAGAAAAGGCAAACAACTGGTTTAAACAGAATAGCTTATGCCTAAACTCAGACAAAACTAACAGGCTAGTAGTAACTAGTAACTCTTCTCTTGCAGAAAACAAATGTGTAAAATTGCTTGGCATAACAATTGATAGCTCACTAAAATGGACAAAGCACATTGAAACCCTATGTAGCAAATTAGCCACAAACATATTCTTACTACGCAGACTAAAAACTTGCAATAGTAATGAATGCCTTGTTAGTGTTTATTACTCCCTCATCGTCTCTCACATTCAATATGGCTTATTAATCTGGGGAAATTCTACCCATATAAATAGAGTCTTTATATTACAAAAAAAAGCAATTAGAATTCTTGCGGGAGCTGGTTATCGTGACCACTGTAGGCCACTCTTTATAAAATTAAATATGCTTACAATTTATTCAATGTACATCTATCAGAGCCTTGTTGAGATTCATAAGAACAAGCATAAATTCTCAATGCACTCGGATGTTCATGGATATAACACCAGGCATTCCAATCTACTTCAACCTAGCGCTCACAGGCTAAAGATCTCAGATAAAAACTCACTTGATGTTAGGGTATATAACAAGCTAAAAAACACTACTAAGAATCTTACTTTAAAACATTTTAAAAATACACTTTGGCAAGAATTAGTTAAACATCCTTTTTATTCCTTGAATGAGTTTATCGCGACCCCCCTATGTGTGTGATCTGGCCTACTACACCTTTATATTATATTATATTTTATTTTATTTTTACCAATTATAGTTTTATATGTATTGTATACGTCATCAGTAATTTTCATGACAAGTGTAAAAACAAATGTTTTGTTAATTGGCACGTAATATATATTCATATTCATATTCATATTCATATTCATATTCATATTCATATTCATATTTATTATTGATAATTAATTGGTCGTTGAGCTATCAGCGGTTCAGTGTACAAAAATGCTTATGATATCGTTATTTTGAAAAGTAGTGATTTCACATCCTAGGACTATAACTTATGGGTCAAAGAGTTTCAAGACGAGGTATCACATGACCCCTCATTCTCATGAAGCTTTCACCCTGAAGCATAGTGTTCATGCTATAATTTCACTAACCCGCATTGCAGCTACACCTGACTCTTTCAAAAAACAAGGTCTCGAACCCTTTTGAATAGATACGTATGTTGTAGGACGTTTGCATTTAATTTATAAATTATATGTTTCTTGGATTGATGATCATATAATACATTATTTCCTAACACATTGAACCAATTCTGGCAGTGCTTCGTTGATAATCCATTGAGCTTGCTTTGAGCCGTCGCCTATCAGGTTTTTGACGTCTTGCTTGAGTGCAGCTATGGCTTTCTCTATACACTTTTGCTTATCTTCCTCCGATCCTTTGCAGTCTTTGATTGTTGATACGTCGCCAATAATTTGTTCAATCTGCAAGATCCAGAAAACATGTCATGCTGAATAAAAAATATCTAGGAATCGTTGCTCGGGCAGAGTAGGTTTTGTAGTTCTCAAAATTTATTTTGTCTGGAAGCAGCTGTTACTAAAATTGAACTTTTGCACTTGGTTTAGGTGTCGTATGGAGTTTTTGTGGATTACATGAAGTTGCAGAAAGATAGAATCAATTTTCATATTTCTCCGTATGCGCAAATACAGTGCTTCTCAAAACGGTTCCTTACTTTATTTTTGAACGGGAAGTGAGCAAGCTAAAATTCGGAATGACGAAATTGTGAATATACTATATTCTAGCGTAAATAAAATGGGGTGTCACGTGATACCTCTATCTGTTCATTTACTATAATTCAAAATGGCGGACTGGCAAGCTGTCAGGCTAGGCGTTTTTTCCTATATTGGAAGAGTCTATCTTAATACGCGATAAAATTTTTGTCATTCTTTTTAAAAAATCATATTTTGAAAATTCTTGCGAACGTCTATATTATAATATTTTATCACAAACCCGGTTAGGCCCTTAATAGAAAAGAAGAATGATATGACATACTATAGCACGTTGATGATTGGTTGTTGAGTTATAAGCCATTCAATACACGAAAACGCTCAACATTGATAAAATGCCAGTCTACGTCTTAAAAGAACTGATTTTACATTCTATTAAAAAAAGTTTAAGATGACACCCAACTGCCATCTGTGCAGCTGTCACTTTAACGCCAAGATATAGGATTCTTGCATCAATTTCATCATCCCAAATTTTAGCTTGTTGACTTGACCCGTTCAAAAAATATGTAGGGGAGCCTTTTTGGAAATAAATAAAATAATTCATATTGTAGATTGTTTTGTTAATTCTTCTTAGCCGCGCGATATCTCTTATTGTTGTTTGTCAAATGAATCCCATTAATTCTTTATTTGATAGATGTTAATAATATAGGGTGGTTCATGTTGTATTTATAATTTGGAGCGGCGACTATGTTGATTTCCAAGACTATAATCTTATTTCTCACATGCCAAAATACGTTGTGATAATTAGGCTTGGCATTTGCCAAATAGGACTATTCGAGCGTTTTCAAGATGTTTGGTACGGCGACATCAATGGGCAATGTTTTTCAAAAATGGGCAAGTAATCGTTGAGAATTACTGGATCATCCACCATACAGCCCTGTCTCAGTACCATCAGACTTTCATCTTTTTATAAAGTTTAAGAAATTTCTTGGTGGTGACTCCTTGGAAAATGATGCCATGTTGAACCACACAGTTACTGACTGGTTTTACGGCCAGGCCGTAGCCTTTTTTTGATGGCGGAATGCCAAAGCTGGTACAACGAATTGACAAATGTTTGGTTGTTTATGTTGAAAAATAAAAGAATATGATATTCTATTTTGTCGTATGATTTATACCTGTATTCATAAGTGAAGTTTTTCTGACGTTTTGTAATTAAAAAACTTGTCGCCATCCCTTAAGCTAATCATTCAGAAATATTTGAGGGTTTGAATCGCAAAAGTTACAGTCTTAAATGCATAGGTGTAACCTCTCAAGTATTATCAGAACTATGAAAAGATGTTCCGTAGTGTCTTTTTTGTAGTTGATTCAAATTTCCAACTTTGATGGTATGTCTTTATTTGATTTTTTTCATAAAATATCATGAGGAAATCAAGACCATTATTACGTATTACATCGGACAGTGAAAAACTGTTTGATATTCTTAATTCTTCATTTGTCAATTAATAAAATAATTATTCTCAGACTGGAATATAATATCAAAACATAATCTACCTATTGATATTATGTATACAGGGTGACTTGTAATGTCACGTATTCCTGTTAAGGGGTGATAGACTAGGTCAAAAGCAACCGATTTTGTCCTATAATGTCCTATCCAGAAGTTAACCGTTTTTGAGTTATTTGAATTTTATTTTTTTTATTTTTTATTCCGATTTCAGACGGTTAAATTTGAAATACAAAAAAACTACATGTTTGATCTTGAGTTTTTTGTTATCGTCGCATAGCGGACATTCCAATAGTTCATAATAAGTAATAAAATGTTGAAAACTTACAAAAGCTTTAAAATTTTGCTTTTGAAATGTATGATTTTCTTATTTTTTTTACTAACTTATTCGATGAAAAATTCAATTTTCCGTAAAAAATCTCCTATTAATTAAATGTGCAAATTATTTAAATAATATCTCTATCTATCAAGCTTTCATTTGAGGTATAAAAGTTACAACTACTATATCTCAAGTACAAATACATAAGTGAGATATGGGTTTCTTGCTGGCCAAGCAATGGGCCCGCCTCTGCCAATCCATTGATTTGAAAATTTAGAGTCTCAATACGCCCGTACTAATCTACTGTAGTGTGCGGGACAGCCGTCGTGCTGGAACCGCATATGTTGTCTCGTCGCCAATGGGACGTCTTCCATTAATGGAAACAAGTGATTTTTCAAGAACTCTTCATACACTTCTCCATTTAAATTAGCGGGCAGAAAATGAGGTCCAATTAAATATCCATCAATGATGCCCATCCACACATTGACTGAAAACCGGCTCTGAGACCCCGTCGGTCTTATTTTTCGGGGGTTTAAAGCTTCTTTATCAGCCCAGTAATGAGCATTATGGTAGTTAGTGATCCCGTCCTTATCAAACTTCGATTTATCGGTCCACAGAATTTTCTTAAAATAGTCTGGATCTTCTGTATGTAACATGTACCTGCAGAAATCTAATCGTCTTGCAGGACCGCCCTCTTCAATCACATGCACAGGCGTGTAGTGATAAGGGTATAATCTTGCAGTATGCACAGTAAACCATACTTTGTATTGTGATATACCCAACTGAGTAGCCACAATGCGCGTAGACGTAGTAGGGTCTTCCTGAAACACACGAAGGATTTCCTCTTCATCTCCAGGAGGATAGACTCGGAGTCGACCAGCATCACTATGTTGCCTTTGAACACGCCCGGTTTGGCGGATGCGCCGATACACAGAGTCAAACACAGTAACATGAGGTGTTCCGCGATTCGGGAAACGTTGCCGATATTCACGGCAGGCAGCTGCAGAATCGCCGTTACAAAGTCCATAACAGCACATTATGTCTGCGTATTCTTCATTTGTAAAAGTTTGCCCTTGCTCGCTATGGCGAGGTCCTGGCGGATCTTCTGCTTCTGCCATGATGATAAAGAAACCACTCGAAATGAACTGGGAAACTCGAAAATAATAATCGTGCGTAAAACGTGTGCGCGTACGCAGTAGTTGATACCAACTAAACCTAATTCTCACTCGGCGTGCGGCGATGGCGTAACTAGAATGATGAATAATACCAGCTCTCTCTCTCTCTCACTCCTCCACTAAGTCAGGTCTTCTCGCTCGCTTCCTCGTCGAGCCGATGCCATAAAACAATCATGTCATGCGAGTCCTTTGAGGACAGTAACGATTTGTTCAAAGAGGTAATACAAATTCCTTAAAAATCCAGCCTCTGTGGGTGTCATTGTTGTTTCTCTGCATGCACTTTAGATAATTGAACGCTTAATACCACAAATGAAAGCTTGTTAGATAGAGATATTATTTACATAATTTGCACATTTCGTTACTATTAGATTTTTTACAGAAAATTGCATTTTTTATCGTATAAGTTATTAAAAAAAAAGAAAATGATACATTTAAAAAACGTAATTTTAAAACGTTTGTAGCTTTTCAACATTTTATTACTTATTATGAACTATTGGAACGTCTGCTATGCGACGATAAGAAAAAACTCAAAATCAAGCAAGCATTTTTTTTGTATTTCAATTTTAACCGTCTGAAATCGGAATAAAAAATAAAAAACTTAAATTCAAATAACTCAAAAATGGTTCACTTTTGAATAAGATATGATAGGACAAAATCGGTTGCTTTTGACCTAATCTATCACCCCTTAACTGGAATACGTGACATTACAAGTCACCCTGTATACATATGGAATGAAGGTACCTACCTTTTTCTCGAGATCTCCAACCCTATCTTTAGCTTTCTCAACTAGCTGCTTTATACACTTCTTTATTTTTTCGATGATATCTTCGTTGGTTGAGTCGGAGTCATCCTTCTTCTCGTATTCTTGGTCTTGGGCAGTTTCAAAAAGATTCAGAATGTTTTTCACTATCTCAATGTCTGTATTTATGTATTCGTCATTACCATTTTCCAAATTGTTGGTTGGTGGGTGCTGAAAAATAATAACATGATAGAATTTTCCCAGTACCTAAATATGTTGTCTTAGTTCAAAATCCCCATGCTTTAGTAGAAGGGCACACCCAGTACCGTCAAAAAATTAATGTATGGACAGGCATTTCACGAAACAAAGTGTTTGGATCATTGTTCATTAGTGGAAATTTGAATGGAGACATCTGTTTGAATATGTTGGAAAATACCGTCAATCCGCTTATCACTAAAACCATCGATAGCCATAACGAAGAGGAAGGAAACCCTATACTTGATGAGGCTAAAATATATTTCCAGCAAAACAGCGCTCCTCCTCACTATGTTCTTCCGGTTCGGCAATGGCTAGACGTCGAGCTTCCAGATAAATGGATAGGGCGAAGAGCACCTATAGAGTGGCTTGCCAGATCTCCTGATTTGACGCCATTAGACTTTTTTCTATGGGGCCATTAAAGATCTATTGTGTTTACTCTCCAGCCTGAAAGCTTGGACGAACTTCGTCAACGCATCATCTAAAGCTGCCATGATATCCCACAACATGTTTTTGAAAATGTCCGTCAGGAATTTGAACCTCGCCTATATCATTGCTTGGCCAACAACGGGAAAAATTTCTTGGAATAAAAAGTGATATTTTCGTGAGTTTTTGTTTTCTGTCTGAACAAATTAAGATACATAAAGATTTTGCTTATTTTCTTGAAAACGAATCAACCGATACAAAAAATCAAACGTCAAAATACAGGACATCGAAAGACCTTTCAAACAAGCTATTACTCGATACCCCTTATTGAAGTGGTATCGACGCTTGTTATTCAAGATCCTTAAAGGGATGACCTGGGGGCAGAGGGTGAAAGAGGTTAAAGTAGTTTTTGGTTAAAAGGTTGACCAATATTTTGACGTGTCGCGGCATTTTCTCTTTTAATCAGTGCTTTCCGATAAATCTGTGGTGGGAAGGCTTCAGATGAACACCCTGTATGTAAAACATGTCTAATACCTGCGTAAAATAACCAATGCTTGGAGCGTATAAATTTACCTGCATTAAGAAATTGAGATAAACCCTCCCAACCCCCTTACAACCCCCATACCCAATTTTTTTTTGACTCTCAATTTTTTTTCAAGAATGATCACGACTCTCTGAAATGTCAAAAAACGTCGCTTTAGGCCTTTCTCTCTGACGTCACTGGACCAGTTTCGACCAACTACAAAGGTTTTACGTTCTTGGTATAGTAGTAATATTGTAGAAATTTAATCGGAATCCTAGCGGTACTTTTCAAGTTATAGGCTGTTGTAAGATTAGCGGACAGATCCTCAGATGAACCGACAGACAGAAGGCATGCCGACGGAATAAGTGACATGGTTTTTCATGATGTAAATGTCATATAACATCAAAAAAGCATAATATCTCATTTTCGAAATTTTTCGCGATTACTTGACTTTCCCGCCAGTACGCGTAGGAAGTAAAAAGTGTGATCATAGAAGAACTAAAATAGAAAATTGACGTCTAATATCTCAGCATCTCTTCAAAAATGGACACTGGGCGTCGTGGAAGTAGATGATTGGTCAATTTGGAGTGGGTGATTGCAACTGAAAAGAAATTCCACATATTTTCTGTAAATTTGTTTTACCGATTATGAAAGTTAATCCCAATGCTGGAGGAGTACTATCGATCTGTAAATTATGCGTCTGCTCTGATTGAGGAAGTTTAAGATACCTTGAATTTAAAATAATCTAGGAATTATCATAAAAACTAGCTACGCAACAAATCAACGCAAAAATGAGGTGGTGGGGATAGGGAAAACAGAAGAAGTTTTCCGTTATGTTTTTTGGCTCCAGGCAGTTGTTTCAGATAATTCTGAAAGTTTCTCTTAAGTTGATCGTTTTGAGGAGTCCGTTGTAGATGTCTGAATCTCATTGCTTAAAAGATTGGTTGAAAACTGTTACTTTTGAGGTTATCAAATATCTAAATTAAAGCTTAAACCTTGAAGGTGCTAAGAAGTGATGAACTTTTGATAACACCTTGATATCTCCTTTTCGAGAGGCTCTGCGATTGTAGTACTTCCTCGTCAGAGGCGTGGGAGGTAAAAGGAAGAAGATTCGAATTCAAGAATACTTTGTGTATTATTAGAAAAAATCTTACCTGTCTTGCCAAAGCGGCAGCAGCGAAGCAAGCAACAATCACAAATTGTACCTTAACCATGTTTACCTTAACGTGCGTTATCTTGTCGTGCGATGTATTTATATAAATAGAAATGACAATGGGTCAATGATAGTACCGAAAAAAACCACTCAAGTGTTTTCCAATACTGGATAAGATTTTAATCAGTTTTTCTGGAAACTAGGTTACAGTAACATATTTTTAGCAAATAAAGGTGATAAGATGAATTTAGAATCAAGGTTTCACAATTACAAAGTTATCCATTCGATGATTAACACCAGTTATGTGGAAATAGGGATTCGGTTTATAATGGGTGATTTTTTGCTAGTATCTTTTTGGCAAGACTGTTTTTGACAGATGACGCGTGAATCGTGTCTTTTGTCATTGTCAAACTTGTTCAGTTTGGTCTATAATTTCACCATGAATCGACTTACGAACGAACAACGCTTGCAAATTATTGAATTTTACTATCGAAATTCATGCTCGGTTAAGAGAGTGCATCGAGCACTGCTTCCAATTTATGGGCAATTTGGTCGGCCTACTGAGGGAGCTATTCGGAAGCTTGTTACTAAATTTCGAACCCAGTTTACATTATTGGACATTAAACACCAACACGCAGACGTAGAGTGAGGACTGAAGAAAATATTGCGGCTGTATCCGCCAGTGTTAGTGATGACCGTGAAATGTCGATTCGCCGCCGTTCGCAGCAATTGGGCCACTACGTGGAAAATTTTGTGTCAGAATTTGGGTGTAAAACCTTATAAGATACAGCTGGAGCAAGAATTGAAGCCAGACGAACTCCCACAACGTTTCCAATTTGGTGAATGGGCGCTGGCAAAGTTGGAGGAAGATCCATATTTTTATCGAAAAATTGTGTTCAGCGACGAAGCTCATTTCTGGTTGAACGGGTACGTTAACAAGCAAAATTGCCGCATGTGGAGTGAAGACCAGCCAAAAGCATTGCAAGAGCTACCAATGCATTCCGAAAAAATCACTGTTTGGTGTGGATTATGGGCCGGTGGCATCATCTGGCCGTACTTCTTCAAAGATGACAATGGCGAGCGCTACCGTGCGATGATAACAAACTTTTTTTTACCCAAAATGGAAGAGCTGGAGTTGGCTGACATATGGTTCCAACAAGACGGTGCCACATGCCACACCGCATACGAAACAATGGCCCTATTGAGAGGCGAGTTCGGTGAACAGTTTATCTCACGTTTGGGGCCCGTCAATTGGCCGCCTAGATCGTGTGATTTAACGCCGTTGGACTATTTCTTGTGGGGCCATGTTAAGGCTAATGTCTACAGGGATAAACCAGCAACGATTGACGCACTGGAAGCCAATATTGAAGCATTTATTCGTGAGATACCGGCCGATATGTTGGAGAGAGTGTGCCAAAATTGGACCTTGCGCATGGGCCATCTAAAGCGGAGCTGCGGCCAACATTTACATGAAATAATCTTTAAACATTAAATTATATCGTCCGTTCTATCGACTCAAATAAAGATTTTATCGTTAACAAGCTCGCAGAAACATAATACCTCGGGTCGCATTGTGAAAATATATTCTGAAATTTCATGTACAACAAAATTTCATTCAAGGTGTTTCCATAACATTTACCCTCAATAACAGTTTTCCAGATCAATTTTCAAATACCTAACAAAACTAAGGTATAGTTGTAGTCACCGTTCTCGGCGGTTACGTCATCACCGCCATATGAAATAAGTAAACAGTTCGAGTCTCCATACCATCGACGGATCTCGAAGTCGTGATATGTTGTCCTTTACTCATATCGTAGAAATTATTCCTATTTCTGTTTTGACGGCATCACTTACATCATCGGTCATGCATTTTTTGATTTTGTGAGTTTCACTAGGAGTTACTATGAGCAGACCGTTCTTATTTTCTGATTTTGTTCGCTGAACACTGCGCAGATTAATATATTCGCGCATCTGCTATTCTCTCCAGTACGCATAAAGCGGGTAACAGGGAACCGCTGTATTTATTCTCTTCCTGGAAATACTCGAATAAATTTAGCACGAGCTGTCGGCCTTCTCCATCGACCGTATTTCCGGGCATTGTCAATTTCATATTGAAGATTGATAACAGGACAACTTAAATTGCACGCCAATGTCAATTATGATTCGTAACGACAAAGTTAGCAAAACGGTTACACACAACTAAAAAACGTATTTCTTTGAGCTTACCAAATAAACGTTCATATACACACATTACATGTGTATGTATGAGGGAGATGGAGATATATAAAGCGATACTGGTAGTCTTACTTTGACCCGCCAAGAACGGTGTCTACAACTATACCTCTCAAACTGAAGCGCTTGCTAGAATCTGGACTTCCCCTTAATTTCTTTAGTTCCTCTTACCTTTTTGCTGTCTAGGCAACCACATGAATAGAATCTATCTGGGCAAGTACTCACTATGCTGCCATCTGCGAAAATGTAAAAGTTGCATAAACTAAATACAGGCTGAACAGGATCGGCACGGGTATCATGTAAAAAACCTATAAAACGTCAAAAAAAACCTGTAAGATGTCAACTTGCAAACTAGGTAGTTTCTAGGGCACAAACAGTCATTCTACGTTTGCTCGTTGGGATCGTTGTGAACACCATGTGATGCGAAACGGGTATCTTATTCACAGCACCGAAGAGCCGACACACCATTCTTTCAATCACCTTCAGGCATGTTATAGACTTTGCAATGTCTAAAAATCGTAGGTCCAGGATTGCTTCTAGGACCTTGTATGCCATCTCTAGTGACCATCTACCGGTTGTTCTGGATTTAGGTAATGGGCATTTCGTGGAGGAGGGAACTCCTCTAAGGAAAAGAGTTGATTCGGAACTATACAAGTCATTTCTCAAACAGTTTCCTAGCGTCCCGGTCATACATGATGAGAACGGAATTGATGCTGCTCAATCGGAGTGGAGAAGTTTCGTTCACCAAGCTCTACAGCGTGCTGCTGTGCTTCCGGTGCAGCGACACTGCAGACCTTTTCTCCCTGCTGACGTTCGACGCAAAATTTCTGAAAAGAGAGCTGCGATTAAGTAAGCAAAAAGATCTTGTTATCCTGATGACATTCGTAGGGCGACGAATCTCGTCCATCAAGTGAGAAATGCAGTCCATGAATTCTGCAATGAGCGGAGGAGCGACTTTCTGGCGAGGATACTTGAATCAAGTATTCGTCTCTGGAAAGTGGCAAAATCGCTCTGAAACGGAAGGCAAGAACAACTACCACATATTCATGATCCTGGAGGCATAGTTTTCAGGACCGAGGATAAAGTGGAAGTTTTTGCTGACGTCATGGAAAGGCAGTTCTCTCCCAATTATGATCTGGACGATGACCTTGACAAGGAACGACAAATAGTAAGATCTGTCAGGAGATATTTTAGAGCGAATGGCGATATCAACATCGGTGACTCCTTTTCAGAAGATTCTTCTACGGAAGTCTCTTCAGATGAATCTCAGCATAGCACACCAAGGGAATTATCTGAGATTCCCTTTTGAACACCTGCACAGCTCCAAGGCCACATTAAGGACCTAAGTATGCGCAAAGCACCTGGAGAGGATCAAATCACCAACAAAGCACTGAAGTTGCTTTCGCTCAAGACTTTGACTTATCTGGTGGAAATAATCAATGCAATGCTCAGAACTCATTACTTGCCTAAGGCGTGGAAGATCGAGAGAAATGATAAAAAATGACCTTTAAAACGAGATGGAGAGGATTTTCTACCATAAAATTGTTAGAAAAAGAGAAGTGTTTTGTTATAAAAATAAAATTCGAGATTTTTGAGTACTGCTATAAAATTAGTATTCTAAATAAGAGACACGTCAAGATATAGTCAATTTTTATAAAAAGAAACTGTAACAAACGCTGTCTCGTGCTTTTTAACAATCATCGGTGCGGTATATTTAGAAGTTTGTCTTTTGGAGTAGGCTAGAATTGAAACAAGCGTTATATTCCACTCAATTTTATTAAAAAACTGAAAAGTTATGAATGGATGCATTTGCGCACCTTATGAAAAATCAACTTAGATTCCTGAATATCGGACTGCAATTTCGCAATGTCGCCTTTGATGGTTTCAAAAATCTTGTGGATGCACTTTTCCGTTTTTTCTCTGCTTTTTTCTTCCCTGCACTCCCTCAGTTGTTGCACGTCCCCTCTTATTGTCTGTATCTGCAAACAATGACAATGCTTTCTATCATACATCAACAAATCATAAGTTTAGTTCGCGGTTCCGATTCGGGATTGATTCTGAACCACTTCGCATGCGCACTTCAAAAATCGGCGGTCGCGGTAAGAAAATTCTGAATTTTTAGTTACAGTTCTGCGTTCGCGGATCATATCGAATTGGTACAGAACTGATTCCGAATTGGTCTTGATGGCTCTCAGATTTTTGGTGAGACTAAAAGTTCGATCCGGCTGATCATGCGCATTAGCATCGTTCCCTTCAGCTTATTCCGACCTGCGCCCAATAAGTTTACTTTCGATTCTATCAAAAATATTGGAAAGGATAGTACATGATCAATTGAAAGAGTACTGCTCTGAGAATAACATAATTCCAAAAAACCAGTCTGGCTTCAAAGTAGGGAATAGCACCACCACTGCCCTGCTTAAGGTGACTGATGATATTGTTGAGGCTTTGGATCGGGGTCAAGCAGCGGCTCTTGTACTGCTTGACTTCTCCAAGGCTTTTGACATTATCAATCATTCACTTTTGATCTCAAAATGCAAATATATTAGATTTTCTCAAGCATCTATCAAGTTCATTACTAGTTATCTCATGAATCGTATGCAAAGGGTACATTTGGACAACTCATATTCGACATATAAGAATGTGATATCAGGGTCCCTCAAGGCTCTGTTTTAGGACCGCGATTGTTCTCCATTTACATATCAGACATGTGTAAACTGATACGCTCCTCTGAAGTGATGACTTTTGCGGATGATACACAAATATGAAAACTTTTGATCCAGATGACTGTGTAGCAGCTGTTGACGAGTTGAATTGTGACTTAGCCACTATTGTTAGTTTTTCCAAGCATAGCTGCTTAATGCTAAATGCCTCTAAATCTAAAGCTGTTCCCTTTGCACCAAAAAACAAAATCATTAATATCAGAAATAACACGGCAGTACGCGTTAATGACACTTCTTTAGTTTACGAGGATCTTGCAAAAAATTTGGGTGTCTTACTTGACAAGGATTTACGTTTTCGTGAGCATATATCTAAATTAGTAAGAAACTGCTTTGTTGTACTAAAAACGTTGTTTGTTAATAGGCATTTCATCAATTTCAAATTGAAAAAACATCTTTGTGAAAGCCTAGTTCTCTCAAAAATCAACTACTGCCTTATAGTTTTCTATCCTTACTTAGATCAAGTCTCAATTCGCAGACTTCAACTGATTCAAAATTCGTGCTGACGCCTCATCTACGGTTTAAGAAAATGTGGCCATACTTTACACGTTTATTTTTGCCGCAACGAAAGAGTCATTGTCTATCGATCAGCATGGCTTTGTCGATAAGAAATCGTGTATCACTAATCTGGTTTGTTTGTCACAAAGCATTTGCGAAGCCTTGGATGACAGAAGTCAGGTTGATGTCATTTATATGGACATGGAAAAGGCATTTGATAGAGTAGATTTAGGTATCCTATTGAAAAAACTGAGTTTTCCTGGGTTCTCTGAAGATCTTTTGTCGTTGTTCAACTCGTATCTTTTTAACAGGAGTCAGTATGTTGATTATTAAGGATATCGTTCACCACTTATAAAGCCTACCTCAGGAATTCCCCAAGGCTCGAATCTAGGACCCTTACTATTTATCTTATAAATAAACGATCTAACTCTTGACTTGCACTGTTCAAAGTTATTATATGCAGATGATCTTAAAATATACAACTATTTCAATACTATCGATGACTGCCTTGTCTTGCAGCAAGATATCATCACAGTGTCTTCACGGTGCCATGCCAATCATCTTAACTTAAATAATAATAATAATAATATTAATATTTGGATTTGGATTGGATGAAAAGTACAGGACTGAAGGCGGAGACTGAAAGTCTACTGATTGCTGCACAGGTCCAGGCTACCATAGAAGAATGGTCCTGAAATAGAATGCAGACAGCAAATGCAGAATATGCCATCAATGTGAGGGACATATAAGCCACATTATTTCAGGCTGCTCAACACTGGCACCAACAGAATACACCGAAAGGCACAACAACGTCGCTAAATACATACACTGGACTATCCTCAAGCAGCACCAAGTACCAGTTAGCAACAACTGGTATGATCATTCTCCTGAAGCAGCAGTAGGGACAGACGAAGCATCAATTATGTACGACAAAGGAGTCATTACCGACCGTACGATTTCCGCCAACCGACCTGATATTATTTACCATAATAAAACACAGAACACATGCCTGCTAATTGAGGTATCTGTACCAGACGACAACAACGTTAACACCAAAGAAGCGGAAAAGGCCAGAAAATACAAAGACCTCGAAATCGAAATATCGCGCATGTGGAAGACAAAGACAAGAACGGTACCCGTGATCATCGGTGCTTTGGGGACTATCACTATGTCATTCAAGAGCAACATAAAAGAACTCCCCGGAGATGTTTTTGCAACACAAGTTCAAAAGATAGCACTGCTAGGAACAGCCCACATCTTGCGGAAAACTCTTTCCGACTAAAGACCTTAGAACTCAGGCAGAGTTCCGGTCAAGCTCATCCCTTCCTCTAGGAGTGAAATACAGAATAATAATAATAATAATAATAATAATGCCTTTATCAGCTGCAGTGAGGCGAAGTTTAGCCAGAAAAAAAATTCTTAAACACATCAACAAAATAATAACATACAAAAAAATACAGTTCATAAGCATGACAACATTAACTGCACGAGACAAATGCAGATACTCTTGTGAGAGCTTTAAATTTGAAACATAAATAGTAGAAAATAGTAAAGCACATGAACACAAGAAAAACTGAACTAAATGGACTCCAGCAGCTGACTTTTCATTAATTTCTTAAAAGAAGCAACCTGTTTGGATCGATAGCCACTGTTGACTGCATTGTAATGCTTGATAGCATTATAGGTGTAACCTCTTTCAAAGACCGAGGTATTGTGAGGAGGCATCTTGAAATTAGCATTAAATCTAAGAGCTCTGGTAACAAAACTACCACGGGGAACTAATTTGCTAGCAAGGTAAGCTGACCTGTAGATAATAGAACTTTATGCGTGAAGACGGTCAAAAGATATAAAAATAACTTATCAATTCGCAATCAGTTGAGTTCTATGATCTTATCTGAGACGCGACTAAACTTGCGCAATCCAAAAATAAACCTACAACAGCTGTTCTGAATTTTCTGGAGTTTCCTTTGGTGGACGTAGTCTAAACATGAGTAATAAAGAACAAGAGAGTAAGACATGACAGACAATACAAGACTTTCGGCGAGCTTTTTTCGAGTTTTAAAATTCAGGATGAATCGATTAGAATAGAGGAGTTTCAAACGCATATACGTTACTCTAGATAAGGAGACATGCCGATCGAATCTCATATTTAAGTCAAGGGTAACACCGAGATTCCTGGCGTAATCCACCAAAGTGATGAGTGTCTCATCCAAAACAACACAAATCCTCTGCTTCATTTCACGGTAGGAGTTCTTCGAACAGTACAACATTGCAGTAGTTTTATTAGGATTGATCTTCAAGCCGTGTTTGTTACACTAATCCCTGATGTTAGCCAAATCTAAATTAACTTTAAAAGAAACTTCATCAACCTTTGATGGATCGGAACCAAACAAATGTGGACAAGTGCTTTGTTGTGTCTTTCACAAGGAAATTTAACATCTTAAATTTTAACTACTACCTTGGACACGTAAGTCTTAAGCGTCAAGAGCAAATCGATGACTTAGGAATCATATTTGATCAAAATATGTCTTTTTCAACTCATATCGACACGACTGTTGCGTCGGCTAATAGGACGTTGGGATTTATCATGAGGAACGCTAGACAATTTTCTATTTCAGTACTAAATATTCAATATACAAGTTATGTACGTAGTAAGTTGGAGTATGGTATCTTGATTTGGTACCCACATTGCGCAACACACATTAGTAAGATAGAGTATGTTCAGAGAAAATTTTTGAAATATATGTATTTTAAGAAAACTGGTTTATTCCCGGAAAGAGGATTTGATTACTCTTTGTTGCTTAATGAAGTAAACTTCATTTCTCTTAGCACACGAGTTTCTTTGTACAAACTCATTCATGGGGACATAATATGTGAATTTTTGTTAGGTAAAATTCCATTTACCGTGCTCAGACGCAGCACCAGAAATTCTAGAGTATTTTATTGTGAATGCCCTAGAACCAACATTTTAGCCTAATTCGCCTGATACCTCGAATCTAACGTTTCCCTACCTGGTCAATGATTTTCTTGCGGAGAGCTCTAATTTCTGGCAAATATTTCTGTATGCACTTCTTGATCTTTTCTTTGTCAGGATGACAACCTTCAAGTGCGACTTCATCTAGCAGATTGTCAAATACTTCTTCAGAATGACCATCCCATTCATTCTGAATATCCAAGAACTCATCTTCTAACCTCTGGATCAGACTCTCTGGTTCCTCAACAACCTAACAGAAAAGGAAAATAGAATGGCGTATAAATTCAAGAAATCTGCGAGATATCGAAAAATAAAACAACACTATAAATCTGCCACTCCATTACAAAGCGACGGCAGTGTAAATAATCACTTACGTGTCTCACAAATCACCTGTTTCGACTTTTATTAGAGTTTTTATGAAAAGAAAATTGAATAACAGAAAATATCTCCCAAGATGTAATTTTTTTTGATGGATATCACGATTACGATTAAAACTTTTTAATTCCAATTTAAGAAAGTTGTGATTTAAAATGTGAGATCAGAGGACGAATTTACACAGGCAGATACACAAAAAAGTTAAAGAAGTTCTACAGGGTACAAGCATTTTCGACCTATATTTCAAAATGGTGTAAAAGAATATCAGAAAATATGAATTTACTTCGATCTGTTCAATCTGTTAGAGTGGCAGAAACATAGAGTGCTTTTTAGAAAGGGTCACACATACATATATTTAAACGGGTCTAGTTAGCAAGCTCAAATTTGAGAGGATGAAATTGATACACGAATAGTATATTCTAGCGTAAAAACAACAGTTGAGAATTTCAAGATTTCTCAACTATTTTCAAACGAAGTAGTGAGATCGTGAGATCACGTGATACCTTATTCGTTGTACTTAATAATTCTACACTATGGAATCACTATATTCCGAAATGGCGGACTGGCAGACTACTAAAGTTGAGCGTTTTGCACATTAAATCGCGTATAGCCCAACAAGCAATAGTCAAAACGTTATAACATGATACCGATATTCATCTATTAAAAGAGTCTACCTAAATGTGCGAATGAAATATGGGACATTCGGTTTTAAAAAACGACAAAGAAGACTATACATATAACGTACTTTAACGTTTTGACGATTGGTTGTCATTTCAACATTTCCCGTCATTAAATTTGTTTTGAGGAATCACAGATTAGTTTGATTATATTTCTTAGAGTGAACATTGCGAAAGTGAAAGTATAAAGCACGGACTTAGAAATAAAAAACTAAATTGACTGTTGTATCCAACGAATTCAGACCAAGTAGAAGGAGCCAGTTAAGGATTTGTTTGTCTTCTAATTCTCTTAGTCTCTAGTGAGGATCAAAGTGCATGCAAGTGCACTTGACATAAGTTAATTTTTATACCGCAGTGCCATTAAACTCGTATTTTCATTATCTATTTTTAAAAGTGCAAGTGTTGGCCGATCATTGTGGAGAGCGGCCTAGGCCTAACGAAGATAGATGTTCAGTAGTAGCAAGTATTACTATTATCTTGAGATAGCGCTGTCACTTTGATAGGTATTGGTAGTCGAATGGCGACAAAAACAAAGGCTTGGTTCGTTCAAATCTGTATGAATTTTCTCGTATTCGTAGAACTTTTCTAGAGTGAAGGCAAAAATTGAAGTTGTGTGAAATGTTTTGTCGAAATGGACACAACAATATCTGTACAAACAGGAACTTTCTGCATTTAAATAAAAGCTAGGTATTGCAAGAAAAATGTCACGGACTGACTTTTCGGGCGGTCAGTCCGTGATCCAAGAACTGACACCTGTAATGGCTATTTTGGAATGATCCAGCATGGATAACAGCAATAGTGAGAATGCAATAATGAGAAACAAGGTCTAGAGTGTAATCTGATCATATCTTCTCTTTTTACAGATACAGGAAGAAGTTGCAAAAAAGGTAAGTGATCATTACTATTTAAAATGTTCACGATCTGTCAGCTGATTTTGAAGATGATTTTAAAAATACTCTAGTAGAGCATCTAAGTGAGGAATATTTATGTAGCAAAATTTGGTTAAAACTATGACAACTATAATCCCAGCCATCTATTATTTGCAATATGTAGGAAGGGCTACCAGCTCTTTCGAGAATGACTAATATTTCTTACGTCACATTACGTAGGATATCAATAATTCGACAATATGAAGGCAATATACGGTAATAGGTCGGAAGTATCAAATATGTATATAGGCCGGAAAAGCGGGACATTTTTATAAGGAAATCCTACAAATTGGCGAGAGTCTTTTCTGGTTCGTTAGATTATTGCCTCCAGAAGTTCAAATTGACACCTTGGTAGCGTTGGAGCGTTTGTCGCCATTTTGATAAACACGTTTGATCGATCATCTCGTAAATCATCGTTCTTATGTAAAAAAGTAGCAGAAACAAGTTTGTAATGCATTAAATACATCATTCTGTTACCGTAAGAATTTGTCGTGTTGTGAACAGATTAAGAAAAATGATGGGCCAAAGGTACGTGTAATAATGTTTAAAAGTATAAAGCACTAAGTACTATTTTTTGTAGATAATAAAATTGTATTGAAAAAAGGTTTTTTACGTTGTTTGAAACCTTGACGGTTCATGAAGTATACGAAGGGAAAGTTTGTATCAAAAAAGTGAGACAATCTTTTTACTTTACATAAGGTATGGAAAATGTAATATTCCTTAATAATTTTTAATATCTTCGTCATGGAGATCAAGTCACTCACACCCATCACTCTGTTGGCGATTTTAATACTGCGTAATTTCAGTAACTGCTGCAGCAATTTTAATAGAAGATGAGATGTAGGTAAAGCTGGTTTATATCTCTCTCTCTCTTTTCATTAAAATGGTTGCAACCGATTAAAGTGAGAGGCTTGTATTTTCGTTATGAAGACATAAAATATCCGAAAATAGACTGAATCGGCAAATGATCTTAAAATCTAGCTTATGTAATTCTCTTCTAAAAATAGTATAACATTTGTGGGTTCTTTCTACCAAAAACTGAATAACACCAAGTTTTGTCATTGAAGTCATAATACAGTGAAAGCTCCCATAAGCGGACACTCACGGTTCCGTAACTTTTGTCCGCTTATGGGAGGTGTCCGTTTAAAAGAGAGTATGTAAGTATAGAGTATAAATAACGGGGTATATAATCATGAGGAAATGAGGTATTATAATCATGAGAAAAATAAAACAGAAACTCGCCACATTTTTAAAGTATGTATTTATGCTATATATGTATACATATATAATATATGTACATATACGCATACAAAAACATAAATGGGGATCTGCTACTCCTAAATGTTTGGCATGTCGCAGTAACTGAGCAAGTGTCGCTAAGGGCAGATCGTCTTCAGCATCGCAATAATTTTGCTCTGCAAATTCTGAGCTACATTCACTTTTTCTGAATCCAGCTTTGCCAAAACAGTTTTTAATTGTAGAGGAATTTACTTTATTCCATGCTGTTTTTATAAAATACAAAGCTTCTAACACATTGATAGACTTTGTAAGCTCAGATAAGCTTTGACCATCGTCAATTTTTGTTAAAATATGTTTTAAAATCAAGTGCCGATAATAAAATTTAAAGTTCTGTATGACACCTTGATCCATGGGCTGACAAACAGAAGTTGTGTTTGGCGGTAAAAATATAATTTTCACATTTTTCATTTTCATATCACGAGGATGAGAGCTTGCATTGTCTAAAAATAAAAGAACTTTTGCCTTTTTGGATTCTCATTTTCCGGTCGAATTCGACTAACCACTCAGACATGATTTCTCGGGTCATCCATGCCTTTTTGTTGGATTTCCAAGTCGCTGGTAGATCCTTAATAGCAACGTTTTTTAAAGCACGGGGACGAGCCGCTTTCCCGATCACAATCAAATCGCATTTTTCACCGGCCATATTTGCACAGAATAAAATGGTTAGTCTATCTTTAGACAACTTTCCACCCACACATGTTTCTCCTTTAAAGGACAGAGTTTTGTCGGGCAATGCGCGAAAAAAAAGTCCACTCTCATCTGCGTTGTACACATCTTCTGGTTTGTAGCCAAGCAACATGGACGGAAGTTTCTCCAAAAATTGTGACACATCAACTTGATCTACTGCAGCAGCTTCGCCAGATATGCATTTAAAACTCACACTATGTCTCTTGCGCCACTTTTGCAGCCACCCGTCGGACGCACTGAAATTATTATAGCCCAAAGTAGTGGCGATTTCTTTAGCTTTCATTTTCACTAACGGCCCTGAGATTGGAATGTTCTGACTTCTAGCTTTCACAAACCACTCAAAACATGTTTTGTCTATAGCAAAACCTTCCTTTTTTAAAAAATCCTTCTTTTGATTTATATTAGTTCCTGATTGCCATTTACTCCTGATATCTTCCTTATTTTTGGCAATTTCAGCTGCTTGCGTTTTCCCAATATTAAACCTCTTTGCCAAATGACGAACTGAAACACTTTCTCTGTCTAATACGTTAACAACTTCCATCTTTTCCTTTAACGAGAGCATCCTTTTTTTGGTGCCATTTTACAGTTACAATAATAAAATACGTAACTCAATCAACTACGAATTTGCCTGAACTGAAGACAAGCCACAAGATTACATACAGGCTACCCAACGAAATGCGTAAATGGGGAATCACCTAATATAAATCGGGGAATTACCGAATTTTATGTATGTAGATATGGGCATTGCAATAAGCGGAACTAAAAAATCTAGTGTCCGCGTCCGTTTATAAGAGCGTCCGTTTATCGGAACGCATTTAACATTGAAAATTGATGGCTGAAATTCGGTTCCAGGAACTTTGTCCGGTTAAAAGAGATGTCCGCTTATAGGAGCTGTCCGCAAGAAGAGCTTTCACTGTACTTAGTAAGTCGTACTACAAATAAAAAATAAGTGCAACCGTCTTTTATATCCAAATCACTATCATTATGTCATCGCGAGGAACTTTTAGAATACCGTGCTAGTTTTCGATGAAATGAGTACTATTTATGGTAGTTCAGAAAAAAAAATCATACGTTAGAAGTTCTTTATAGCCATAACAGGCAGAAAGAAGCAAACAGAAGCGATCTTTTGGAAAAAACTTAAAGTCGCAATATCTCGAAAACTAGAAAAGCTTTACTAAGGTCATGTTCATTGTACCTGGTTGATCTACAGCCAGTCTACCTTCCGTGTCACTCTGGCGTGTTATTTCCAAGACACCCTTTATATATCTAAGGCCATGGAGTTT